GAGAGCAAAGCGCCATCTTAGCACGCACTTCATGGGCCTTAGTTGGGGGGCCCGGAGAGGGAGGGCCAGAGGCCTGGCTGCAAAGAAGAATTAGTAGAACACACACCCTGTGACAGAGACTGGTGACCCACATAGCTCCTTTGTATTCTTGACAGTGCTGAGTCGGGGAGTTCTGGAGGGGGTCAGAGCTGGCTCCCTCTGTGGAAGTGTTGTAGCTCTGCGTCTAGACTCAGTCTAAGGCGGGCAACTGGTTCCTTAGCTCACAGCTCTCGCTGTGTGCCCGGGTTGTTTCCAGGGGTCTTTCTGTGGCGGAGGCGGGCTCACCGATGAGGCTGCTGCCTGGTTCTCTCCACAACCCAACATAACATGAACCCTGCTCTCTCCCTCCCAGAATCCATAAGCACTCATAGGGAGAAAGACTGTCTCATCTTCCCTGGGGAAGAATCAGGAAAACAGAAACTCTTTAAAGTCTTCACCCCTCTGTAAGCACACCCTGGCCTGAGATCCTCTGTTGGAGTATGGTCAGGGGCTTTGTATTTGCTTGTCCCCCGAGATTCTCACTCTTTATGGACAAACTGTCATGTACCCCAAGTATTGCTGTATAACCTTGCCTTAAAAAATTATTCCTGATTGATTGATTAAAAAGCCTGCACCTGGGCAGGGCAGAAGGAGGTAGGCATGGCTAAGGTTCCAGGCTTTGGGGAAAGGAGAATCACTGGAAACAGAGATGAAAAGAGGGGAGAAGAGGAAGCCATGATGGGTTAGCATGGAAAAGGAAGCATGTGGGCCGGGAGGAAGGCCTCTGGGATTGGCGTGAAAAAGAGTGATCCAGATGAAGATAAGCAAGTACTTATGGAATTATGGATGGGAGATGGGCCAGATAGGAATGGTTAAGGTGGATGGAATGGGATGGAGGCCAGGAGATAATGGAAGGAAGCTTGGGAGGTAGTATCTGCCCAGCCCAACATAAATAAGGCAATTATAAAATCTGACAGGCATCTGTGTTTTATTGATTATGATAGTGGGTTAGATAATACGGCCATAACAATTGTAGGGCTAATAATAATAAATATTATTAGCCTGGCACCTAATTTATTTTCAACAACAAATGGTGCCCAACAAATTTTATGCACCCATGCCCTTAAAGTCATACTTTATTATAGTTTGGCAGGGGGAATAAGCTCCCAACAAGATAACCCAAGCTTAAAACCTAAAACCTTCCAGGTCAAAAACTGTCTCCTATGTGTCTGTTTAAGAGAAACTCTTAAACACACCCACAAACAAAAGGCAGTCTACTGCAGGAGACAAACGGAGAAAACTAACATAACTAAGAGCTGGCTGCCACTACCGTGGACCGCTGGAGAGACACAAGCCAGAGAACCATTCCTGAGCAAAGATGTTTTTTTTGTTTTTGTTTTTGTTTTTTCACCAAACCTCATATTCGGTCCCATGCAGGCTAATTTAGTACACATGCTGCCAGGGATCACAGAGCAAGCTGCTTGTGATCTTATGGTGACTCTTATGGCGGTCACCACAGAGGGAGAATTTCTGATGAGCCTTCGAGAAATATCCCAAGTGGCTGATACAATGACACCTGGAAATACCCCCGAGACAGCCTCATTTGGGACCATATGCAGAATAAAACGAAGGGAACTCAGACTAACACAATATGAATAATTAATTTATACTCTGAGTAGCCCAATGGTTTCCTAGTGTGGAGCGTCCACAGAAACTGAAAGCTGATTTCATCAGCACTAAGGAAATAGTGTGAAATAATCAATTAATGCTCAGAACAGCCTACAGTTCACGGAAGTTGATAGGAAAGCTAACTAACAGAAAATAATTAATGCCATTAGGCCTGCCGCTCAGGAAAAAGGCAGAGCCAGGGCTATACAGAAAAACCCCGTCTCCATAAAAATGATATCATGTTTATAAAACAATATATTTTAATTCTTTACAATCTTGTCCTGATTTATCAACATGAAGATGTGTATATATTCAATAATAATATTATCCCCTTTGAGGAAAATAAAAATGTAAGAAACCTAAAAAAATATTGGACGACTAAACTGGATCATTCTATACTTACAATAACTTCAAACTGGACAGCAAAGACTATGTTATGTTGGAAGGAACGATTTATGTTTATGGCAACAGAAAAAGAAAAAGGGTTTGGACTCCACCCAAAGTAATAAGAATCAGGTATGACAGAGGGAGACCTCCTGATTTCCTAGGCCACAATATCTTCAAAAGTTATCATGCTCTCCTTTTAAATGGCATAGACAAAATTGGTTTGCATTTTTGTTAACAGCCCAGACTGGCTTATGGAAAAATGCCTTTCTTCTGCTCATATAAAGAGCAGAAAACCACCCTTAACTGAATGACGCCGGATCAGGCCTGACAGGACTCATCCCTCAGCATGCTGAGATGCTAGCACATCTGTTCCAGCATCCTGCCTGGTCCAGCTTTCCAACTTCAGTCACCTCAGATGCTGGTCCTCATCAGAGCCTACTCCCAAGGGAGCGTTGAAGAAAGCTACTAATCTCAATTAGTCCAGCATTTCATACTGCTCCAAACAGGACTTCTATTAAGTCTGGAATTTCTCAACGTTTAGAGACTGGACCACAAATGTTAATGCTAGCTTGCTTAACCATATTCCCCAATTTACTTTGGGCCCCCAAATAAGATTCCTTCACCCCCAAAATCAGCAAGAAGCAAACCTTAGTGATGCTCCATTTCCCTAAAAAAGGGGTTAAGTAGCTTTTTGCTTGTTCTAATGGGCTATGAATGTTTATTGTCATTGGGAGATGGTTATAAGTTATTAGTGGTCTTATTTAAAGAAAAAACAAGGTATAAAAACTTAGACTCAGGGATTTTCCTTTTCTTTTCTCTGTCTTTCTTAGGTGAGGAGGAAAGGGTTGAAGAGAAACAAAGGGGAATATAGAAATATATTACAGGAATAATAAGACAAAAGGTAGACTATTGTATCTACTCGTCAACTTAGAGATATTATATTTAAATAAGGGTATTTGATACATTGATATAAATTTTAGTATACTGATACAAATTCAAGGTTTCTTTGTTACACTCATATGTCTTTACTCTGATATGAGGTATTATATCCACACAACTCATAAATAGAGGGTTTACTTCCAATACTTTTAAACTGCTCTTACAAGCTATTTAGGATAATCAAGCAATGCAAGTTAATTGTTAGTTAACCAACTCTTGGTCATATCAGATATTAGTCTAATTTATTACAGGAATATACATTCCTAGGTTTAACATATAGTACCATAGATATATAAAAATAAGATAGATAGATAGATAGATAGATAGATAGATAGATAGATAGATAGATAGATAAGTCTTCAAAAACCTCAGAGATCTGCAAAATATGGCATTTAAAAATGTTTTTATTGGTCTGGAGAGATGGCTCAGAGATTAAGATGACTGGCTGCTCTTCCAAAGGTCCTGAGTTCAATTCCCAGCAACATGGTGGCTCACAACCATCTATAGTGAGATCTGGTGCCCTCTTCTGGCACGTCAGCATACACACAGGCAGAACACTGTATACATAATCAATAAGTAAATCTTAAAAAATGCTTTTATTATTTTAATGATTCTTTGACAATGACACATGTCAGCTCCTAGCAGCACCCTATCTACCTCAAAGAAGATGATGAGCATCAAAGAACCTCCACATGGAGATGGCTTCAAATGTGGCAAATTAGCCACCTGGGCAAAAAAAAAAAAAAAAAAGCCTTCGTTTCTACCACAGACAGAATTCTGCCTAAAATGGGCAAGCTTGAATGCAGGCCAAGTCAACTGCCGAGTTCTGCTAAGACAGAGTAAGCAAGTCCTAAATGGTTCCTGCTTCACATATATGTTTGTCAAATATACTGGGACAGAAGACTAAAGATGATACCCCAATGTTATACAGAGAGTTTTGGGTGGCTATTCAGGCAGCAAACTGTCTCTGTCAATTTTTATTTTTTGGAGGCTGCTAGCATACACTTCCTATTTACTCGGGTAATTAATTTTATTCCTTCTCAAGTGTCTGATGGGGTTGAAGACCAGATAATTATAGTTTTATATCAAGCTTGGTTGCTTAGAGAATTAAAAAGATATTTTAAGGTCTAAATAGATGTTTTTAGGCTGATAGATACAAGCTATAATAAAAGTAATTTAGATACAAAACTTTAGACCCTCATAAATAAGATAGATATTTTCTTCAAGATTGCAAAATACATTTAAACTGGACGTATGAGTCTTACCTATTGGTCTTTATAATTGCTTCATAATTATTTTTACTATACATATTTTTTTAAATAGCCTTTTTAATTAGACAAAAAAAAAAAGGAATTGTTAGAGTATGGTCAGGTGCTTTGTATTTGTTAATTGCTTGCCCCCCAAATTCTTACTGTTTATGTGCACACTGTCATGTACCCCAATTATTGCTGTTTAACATTGCCTAAAAAAATCATTCCCAATTGGTTGATTAAAAGGCCAAAACCTGGGCAGGGCAAAAGGAGGTTCATGGCTATAGTTCCTGGGCTTTGGGGAGAGGAGAATCACCAGAAACAGACAGAGACAGAGAGGAGGAAGCCATGATGGGTTATTGTGGAAAAGGAACCACGTGGGCCAGGAGGAAGGACTCTAAAAGTATCATGGAAAGGAGCAATCTAGATGAAGGATAAGCAAGTATTTGTGGAATTATGGATGGGAGATGGACCAGATAGGAACCAAGGCAGATGGAAGGGATGGAGGCCAGGAGATGATGGAAGGTAGCTTGGGAGGAACTACCTACCCAGCCCAATGTAAATAAGGCAATTATAAAATCTGACAGGCATCTGTGTTTTATTGATTATGATGGTGGGTTAGATAATACTGCCCTAACAACTACGGGGCTGATAACAAGCATTATCAGCCCAATGCCATATACTTCCAACAACAGTCCTCCATCACATCTCTCCCACAGTCCTTTGACTCTCACCAGCTCAGCCCCCGATCCCTTCTCCAGCCTGCTGCCGCCGATCCAGAGCCAGCTGGAGGGCATGCCTGATAGTCTCCATGTTGTTCAGGACGTTGTACCGACTCAGGGTCACCAGCCGGTCAAACTCCTTGGGCTCATAGGTGAAGTCCATCATTCCATAGGGGGTGTTTGGCCCATTGATGATAAAGTCCCCAAAGGCCTTCTCCTCGGCTGTTTGTCTTTCCACACCTGGGGTGGGGTGGGAGCAAGGTTAGGCTGGAGTGGTCTATGAAACTGGCCAGGAGCTGATGGCCCTGGACACTGCCCTGCACAGTTGATCTGGCTTGCTCTGTGGGAGAGGCCATCTTGACTCATCGTGAGCACAGAGGTCCAGGTGGTGGGGAGCAGCAATGGTTTACCCAGGCCCTCCAGGAGCAATGCTCTCAACCAGCATCCCACATTCCCCTGGAGGTTAGAACAGGCTTGGGACTTCCCCTTACCTGGGGCCAGATGTGTCCTAAAGGTCCTGTTGACAAGGGGGAAGTGCAGGACGATGGGCGATCGGGGGTCTTCCGCCTTGGTGAACAGGTAGCACTCACGGGGCTCCTCAAGGTCCTTGGGGCCCACCTCGATCTTGGGGAAGGGGATCCCTCGGTCCAGGCAGTACTTCTCTGTCATCTGCAACACCTGGGCAGAGAGGCAAGCCTCTGGCTTCACGCTAACTCTGTATAACGGAGTGACTTTCCGAGCCACCTTTCTATTGGCCAAATAAAGGTGTCTGGGAGGTTTGAATAAAAATGGCCTCCACAGGCCACATGGAGTGGCACTATTAGGAGGTGTGGCTTTGTTGGAGGAAACAAATCTCATTCTCTTTCTGCTGCCTGGGGATCCAGATGTAGAACTCTCAGCTCCCTCTCCAGCACCATGCCTGCCTGTGTGCCTCCATGCTTCCGGCCGTGACAGTAATGGACGAAACCTCTAAAACTGTAAGCCAGCCCCAATTAAATGTTTTTTCTTTATAAGATTTGTTGTAGTGCTGGAGAGATGGCCCAGAGGTTAAGAGTGCTGGCTGCTCTTCCAGAGGTCCTGGGTTCATTCCCAGCAACCACGTGGCGGCTCACAACCATCTATAATGAGATCTGGTGCCTTCTTCTGGCCTGCAGGCAGGGCACTGTATACTAATAAATAAATAAATCTTAAAAAAAAAAGAGAGAGAGAGAGAGTTGCTGTGGTCACGGTGTTTCTTCACAGCAATAGGAACCCTAAGATAGTTGGAATAAGTGTCTAGTGAGACTGTAGTCCTTCCTTCCTCCCCTTAATATGGCCATCCCATCTTCAACCCCTCCCCTGTTCCCTGTTAAGAGGCTGGTTAAAAGGGCAGTGTTGGAGGGGTGGTTTTATCTCTTCTTCAATCCTAGGCAGTCATTGGACGAGGAAGACAAAGAGGAAGTCAAAGTGAGATCACTAGACTCCCTAAGCTGTCTCCCTAAGAGGACTTTCATGGCTGGTGTTTCCATAGTAACAAAGAAAAGCGACCCCAGGCCCACCCTGGAAAGGGAATCCTACCATAATTGGCCAGGTTCTAGGACGGAGTCTAGACGATGCCTGAGACCCTCTTTCCACGTCCTATCATAATCCCAGAATCCTCCAGCTGGCAGACCTGGACTGTCAATGATGCTTAAATGGTCCCTTCTATGAGGGGTAACACCCAAACACCCAGCCGGGCCTCTCAGCATAGATGTCTTCTCCTCCCCTCTACTCCCTTTAGGAGACCCCTCTCTCCCTCCTTACCTCAAACGGGGCTTCCAGGGAATAGTCAAAGGACACAATGAGGTCCACAGCCCGCTGGGGCTGCAGGATCAGCGGAAATGGTGAGTTGATGGCAAAGCCTCCATCTACTAGGGACAGGCAGTCCTTCATGGGTGTGAGCTGGTTGGGGCGGGCATCAGGGTGTCTCTCTGTAAGGCACACAGGGATGAGTATAGCCGTTCTTGCTGGTGATCCTCTTCTCCTGCCTCCCAACAGCCACGGAGTCCCTCACCTAAGCCCGTCCACCCTGCCTCTCACAGCTTTCAGCAATCAGAAAATCCGTCCCCTCCTCCAGCAGCAGGAGCCTCCCCCTCCTCCAACCAGATAAAAGCCAGTGCTGGCCCCGGTGAGCTAGATGTATGTATAGCAAGGATCCACTTACAATTCCGCCCTGCCAGGCTGGAAAGATGGCTCAGCAGGCATGAGCATTGACTGTTCTTCCAGAGGACCCAGGTTCAAATCCCAGCACCCACATGGCAGCTCACAACTGTCTGTCACTCTAAGATCTGACACTCTCCCACAGACATGCATGCAGGCAAACACCAACGCACATTAAAAATTTCTTTAAAACAACCCCCCCCACACACACACACACCCAGAGTACCACCTACTTTTCCAGGCCACAAAGTCCCTGCTAGCCAGGTAGTCCTTGTACAAGCAGAGACCTCTGGTGAAGTTAAAGTTCTGGGTACAAGTAAAGCGGGAGGTGAATATGTCCAACACGGCCTGAGAGAAGGGGTTCTGTGGCGTGAAGAGCCTGGTAGGAAGCCGTGTGGGGTCCTTCAACCGGAACCTTGGACTGCTTTCTAGATGGGAAGGGATGAAACAGTGAGAAATGGAACTGTTCTTGGTCCACCTCTTTCCTGGGCCTGGCAAGTTGCTAGCAAGTGGTGATGGCTGAACAAGGTCCCTGTGCTCACCTGTGATATTTACACTGCTTCTGTGGCAGTCCAGAAAGCCCAGACCTGAGTGTCCCGTCTTCAGGAAGATCTCATACAGGCTGGTGGCGAAAGCACTACCCCACATGCCTGCAGAGACAGTCAGGGCCCCACATCAGGGCCTACCTCCGGCCCTGGCAGTCTCCAACCTTCCGAGCCCAGACTTACCCTGAAGGTAACAGATGCGGGGCTCTGGCCAGGGCTGCAGCAGCCGACCCATGAAGAACTCAGAGCCAAAGAGCTGGGTGGGGACATAAGCCCCATACTTGGGGAAACCGACCTCGTAGGGTGTAAACTCACACCACTCTGGGAGAAACAAAGTCAGCAGGGTCCTCATGGCTTAGCAGGGATCTTGCCTTTCCAAAAATGGCGATGCCCCCTCCCACCAAGGTCCCTGCTTGGGAGCTCCTCCCACTTGTCCCTGACAGACCATCCTTATCCCCCTCCCATCACCCCCTTCCTGTCTTCTTCCTTTGTGTCCACACCCAGGCACCTGCGAAGTCTTCCCCACTGATGTTTGGGTGGACATTGACGCTGGCGTAGATGGGGTATGGGTTCTGACCCTGGCTGACTATTTCTTGCTGGTCTGACAGCTTGGCAGGGTTTTCCTGGGCAGGAAAGAAAGTAGACAGCTTGGCTTTGGGAGGATTCCCTGTTCTCCGTCCCCAGGGCTTGATGTCAGCACTCTGACGTCAAGTTGTCAAGGCCAAGCTACAGCTTGAGGCTGCAGCTGAGCTAAGACCCCTAAGACCCCTGTGGGTTGGTTTTTTGTTTTGTTTTGTTTTTGTTTTGTTTGTTTTTCAACAATTTCAGTGCCTCTGGGAATACTCTCTCTCTTGTTTTTCATTCCAGAAAGCATATCAGAAGAGAGAGAGCTAGACTGGCAATTTTAGGGAACTATTGAAAAAGCAGTCTAGTTTCTTTACAAAGAAAATCTCTAGGAAATGTAACTTCTTAACTTACAAAGAGATACCACGCTTCCAACCAACAGCCACACTCTGCGGCTCTGCGGCTCTGAACCTTCTGCCTCTGAGAGACTGGGCCTGCAGTTCTAGCAGCAACCGCCTGGTGGCGGCATGGGTCAGGGCTGCTTTGGCCAACGCATGGGTGTGGCGCTCCGCCCTAGGGGCGGGCTGGAACCGCTTTGAAAACACTCCACGATAAGGGTCAGCCTGAAGAAGTGTGGAAAGGGAGATGGGATGGGGAGAAGGTAGTCAGTTCCCGTTCTCTTACCGCCTGGTTCAGGAAATATTCAACGACGAGGCCCCAGAAATCAGGGAAGGACATGGTGTGGCCTCTGCTCTCCCAGGCCGCCTTCTCCCTGGAGTAGTATTGCAGCCGCTCTGCCGAGAGCAACCCTATCTTACTGCTGCAGACTCGAGCCGAGGCACGTTCAATGGGGTCCTGCAAAGACTTCTGGGACCAGGATGGATCCTTGCAGAGCGTAGAGATGCACCTGCAGATGGAAGGGATGCCTGTGAGTTAGAGGAAGGATCCTCTGCCCTGTCACAAACATCTGCCGACCTGCTCCTTCGCTCAGACCACTGTCCCTGGGACCCAGCCTCCTCTCAGCCACCCTGATCCTCATAAAGGCAGGCTCCCAGGCCCGTATCAGAGACTCCATCCGATCACCTGGACATCCTTAATCACCCATAGCTCCCTTTTGCTCTGTACTCTGCCCCACCTCACTTACCAGGTAGACCCCGAAACCCCGCTCAGGTAGGTCACGGCATCCAGAACGCCAAGCTCCTGCAGCCCGGCCAGGCTGCCGTACAAGGAAGTCATGGCTCTGGTTCCGCCCCCAGAGCCTAACACAGCTACCACAGGCACCTAGGCACAGCGAGACTTCCATAGCGACAACACTGGGCTGTATGGATTACTGCTCACCCACAGCGGACATTGTTGTAAGCACGCCCCAAGCATTAGCTCACTGACACCTCCCAGGAACCTAGTGAGCCCCCCAACCCCCTTTTATAGATGACAACACTGATGTGTGAGGTTACATGGGGCTAGGTGTGTGTGTAAGTACACGATCATTCGGAGGTCTAAAGATGATACCGGCTGTGATTTTTCACTTGCTCTTCACCTTGTTTTTTGAGACATTGTTTTTCCCCGTACCCGGACCCCCACAGATTCAGCTTCACCAGCTGGCCACCAATCTCTAAGCCCGTGACTACGTCCCTCTTCCCAGGACGTGTGCCACCAAACTTTGCTTTTTCACGTGGGTGCTAGGGATCTGGACTCCAACAAGCATTTTATTGACTGAGCCTTTGCAGCTTGCTTGCTTGTTTGTTTGTTGGGTTGTTGTTCTGTTTTGTTTTCTGAGGTAGTCTCACAAAGCCCAGGTTGACCTCAAACTCACTATGTAGCCAAAGATGGTCTTGAGCTTTCTGCTTCTACCTCCTGAGTACCGGAACCGCAGGCATGCACCACCATGCCTGGCTTCAGAGGCGGCTCTTAGCCGCTGTCTCGGGAAGGTATATTTGATTCTCCAGACCCAGTTCGCAATGTGAACACCTGGTCCTGGCTGGCCCCTTGTGGCTCTGCACCGTTTGTAGGACCTTCAGCGGCACCCTTGGCCTTTCCTCGGTCAATGCCAGCGGCGCTCTCCTCCATCCACCTACCACTCGCAGCCATTGCTGATACACGTCCTCTGGGGCTTGGGGAATAGAATTGCCTGCAGCTGAGGACCACTAAGCTGAAGTGACAGGAACCAGCAAGTACCCCTGGCCTGCCCCCCCAGACACGAGCCTTTTCTGCTTCTGGCCCTGCTCTCTGGGGACCCTGTTGTTGCTGGATAAAACAGAAGCGATTCTTGGCACTCAGTGGCCGCATCTGTTGACCTGATACATAATCTAGGTTTGTCACTGGGCAGTGGCTCCACATCTGCTCTACACGTGGGGCGGAGATGAGGCTACTGGCCTTTTCCTGGCTTCTGCCTCCGGTCCACCTCTCAGCATCCCAGACACAGGCCAACTGGTCCTTGCCTAAGAGATCCCACCAAGCCTCCGCTTCTGGATCCCTTTGACTACTGTCTAGTTATGCCCTTTCAAAGTTCATTTGTTCCTCTTTCCCACCCTTTCCCTGCCTCCTATGCAGGACTCCCAGAGTGGCCCCTGATGTTCGGTTGTGGTACTCTGCATCTGCTCCCATCATCAGTTGCTGGATGAAGTCTCTCTCTGGTCTGATGATGAATCTGTTAGACTCTGGTCCCAGAACATTCTGCAGGCAGGACCAACTGTAGGTCGAAGGCTTTGTGGCTGTGGTCAGGGACACCACAAGAACATTGGCCCACAGAATAAACTGACTAGGACTCATAGGGGCTCGCAGAGATCAGGCTGTATTTAGGGGTCTGGCCTAGAGGGTCTGACCCCTTAGGTCCTTTTCATATATGTTACAGCTGAGTAGGTTGGTGTTCTCGTGGAAATCCCAACGGAGGGAGGAGGGGCTGTCCCTGACTCTTTTGCCTACTATGGGACTCTTTTCCTACTGAAGGGGTTGCCTCCTTCAGCCTTGATGTCATGGTATGTGCCTGGTCTTATTGAAGCTTGCCATGATGTCCCTGAGAGGCCTGTTCTTTTCTGAGGGAAGTGGAGGCCAGAGGATCTGGGGGAGAGGGGAGGTGGGGTGAAGAGAGGGAAGGAGGGGAAACTGTGGTCAGGATGTAATATATGAGACAAGATTAGAAAGAAAGAAAGAAAGAAAGAAAGAAAGAAAGAAAGAAAGAAAGAAAGAAAGAAAGAAGAAAGAAGGAATTCACTTGGTCAAGTCCCACCCCTCATATATGAGTCTGTTTGCAGACAGAGCCAATGAAGTAAATATAGTTAGCATACTAGGGGAGGGCCTCAACCTGACAGGACTGGTGTCCGGATGAGAAGAGGAAGAGAGCCGGACATGGAAGTACAGCCCTGGGATACCAGCATCTGGGAGACCGAGGCAGGAGGACCATAAGTTCAAGACTAGTCTGACTACATATGAGGCCTTTGCTACACAGTAGTAATACTTACCATTAAAACAAAACAAAACAAAACAAAACATTTGGGGAGGTGGGTGTGTTGGCACTTGCCTTTAATCACTACACTCAGGAGGTAGAGGCCAACTCTCCTACATAGCAAGTTTGAGGCCAGTCGGGACCACATAGACTCTGTCTCTCAAGGAAGGTTGTGGGTAAGAGAACTCCTGCTCCTGAGTGCACAGACAGACACACATACACACACACACACACACACACACACACA